TGATTTTACCAAAATGTTCGTGTTTGAACCCATTTTTGATGGGGTTCTTCCTCTTCCCAAGGAATTTCCTTTTCCCCCATCCCTGAYAAACCCAGCAGCGTTCCCAAGGCACACAGAAATAWTTCAATATTTAAATATTTAATGGAAAACCAGAAAAAAAAAATCAAATCTGGATATAAAACCTCTTATCCAAGGCATTTAATAAAAACATCAAAGAAAGAGGAGAAAGGCGAGACAGAGACAGATTCTTGTATTTACATTAATTAAGAGAATAAATTTAATCAAATAAAACATCTTGAATTTGCAGGAATTCTTTCCCAAAAAGGTGTTTTTTTTTTTTTTTTTTTTTTTCCAGGAAAGATGGAAGCAGAGGGAAAATGGATTTTATTTCAGAGATGCTTTGAAATCGTTCTATTTTAGACCAAAATCTGATTTTCTTTTTTTTTAAGGAATAATCTCCCATCCCCGGTGCAGTCGCCAATGCAAAACCTGTCATTTAAAATTTAATTTTAACTCATTTGAATTAATTTAATTTAAATTCCAGGACAGAACTTTAGGAATCCCAAACTTTTCTACGATCTTGGAGTTGCCCACGAATCCTGAACTTTTCCAGGAATCCCAAACTTTTTCCATGAATCCCAAACTTTTCCAGGAATCCCAGCAGTGGATTCTCTCCGAGGAGCTGCAGATCCCGGGGACGGATGAAACTTTGGAAATCCCAAACTCTCAAGGATTCCGAAACTTCTCCACAAATCCCAAACTTCTCTACAAATCCCAAACTTTCCCATGAATCCCAAACTTTCCCAGGAATCCCAAACTTTTCCAGGGATCCCAGCAGTGGATTCTCTCCGAGGAGCTGCAGATCCCAGAGATGGATGGAACTTTGGGAATCCTGAACTTTTTGAGGAAACCCAGGCTTTCCCACGAATCCAAACTTTTCCACCAATCCCAAACTTTTCCATGAATCCCAAATCTTCCCATAAATCCCAAACTTTCCCATCAATCAGTGGATTCTCCTGGAGGAGCTGCAGATCCCAGGGACGGACGGAACTTTGGGAATCCCGAACTTCTCCATAAATCCCAAACTTTCCCATGAATCCGAACTTTTCCACAAATCCCAAACCTTTCCCATAAATCCCAAACTTTTCCATGAATCCCAAACTTTTCCAGGAATCCCAAATTTCCCATCAATCAGTGGATTCTCTCCAGGGAGCTGCAGATTTGGATCGGAGCCGGCGCTGTCCAACGCTTCCCGCGGCTCGGCCGRGTGCTTTTCCCGGGGATTTTTTTGGGATTTTTTTTGGGATTTGGGGTTTTTTYGGGATTCAGAACTCCTCGTGCACGTTTCTGGCATAGTCCATGAGTTTGCTGCCCGTGAAGTACTCGCTGTATTTGAGGATCTCGTCCAGCTCCAGCTGCTGGTTCTGGTTCTCGTCGGCCACGGCGATCATCTGGCGCGCCTCGTTCAGGGCGTTGTGCTCGTTCATCGGGTCCATGTACTCCTGGAAATGGGAAAATGGGATTATTGGGGGAAAATGGGACTATTGGGGAAAAATGGGGGAAATGGGGGGAAAATGGGGAAAATCAGAGAAAAAATGGGAAAAAAATGGGGGAAAATAGAGAAAAAATGGGGAAAAATGGGGGAAATTCAGAGCGTTGTGCTTGTTCATAGGGTCCATGTACTCCTGGAAAATGGGAAAAAAATAGGATTATTGGGGAAAAATAGGATTATTGGGGAAAAATAGGATTATTGGGGAAAAATGGGGAAAAACAGAGAAAAAATGGGGAAAATCGGGGAAAAAATGGGGAAAAATGGGGGAAAAATGGGGGAAATTCAGAGCGTTGTGCTCGTTCATCGGGTCCATGTACTCCTCGAAAACGGGAATTGTTAGGATTTTGGGGAAAAATAGGGAAAAATGGGATTATTGGGGAAAAAATGGGGGAAATAGAGAGAAAATGGGGGAAAATAGAGAAAAAATGGGGGAAATTCAGAGCGTTGTGTTCGTTCATCGGGTCCATGTACTCCTGGAAAATGTGAGGACTTTGGGGAAAAAATGGGAAAAATTGGGGAAAAAATCAACATTTCTGGGGACAAAATGGGGGAAAAATTAACCCGCATAAACCCTGATTATTTTGCATTTTCCACCCCCTGCATCAATTTTAACACCAGATTTATAAACAACATAGATACACCCCGATGATTTCTGCGTTACCCACCCGTGTCCCACCCCCCAGCTCCATTCTGATGTCAGATTTTAGGATAATGGGATAAACCCCGCTGATTTCTGCATTCCCCCCCCATTTCCCACCCCCCAGCTCCATTTCTCCCCCAGATTTTAGGATAACAGGATAAACCCTGCTAATTTCTGCATTCCCCACCCATTTCCCACCCCCAGCCCCATTTTGGTGTCAGATTT